ACCAGATAATTGGTGGGAAAGAATCTCTGGTTTTGCGGTTTTCTGTTAAGTGCCACAGCCCGTGCCTCAGTCAGTGGCAGTTTACCCTCCCTGCCGCCCCTCCTTTATGGGCTTGTCGCGAGTTCTGAGCGACCCTAAGAACTCTGGGCTCTCGACACAACAGCGGCCGCAGTCGCTCCGGGGCCGCTTCTCACATCGCTCCACCCCTCGCTTCGTTCCGCTCAGATCGCGGTGAAACGAGCGGAGCCGAGTAGCCGGGCGGAGTGCAGCCGAACGAACGGTACTGAGTGAGTGGAGTCGAGTCCAGTCAAGCAGAACCGAGTGGGCCGAGCCACACCGAATAGCACGGAGCAGGAATCTATCAAGTGGCGGCCGCCACCATGAAGCGGGACCGGCTTGGCCGCTTCCTGTCGCCTGGGACGGCTCGGCAGCGCGGGAGTTCGGGCGGCAGCTGTGGAAGCGGTCGGACTCGGGGTCGCCCTTCTCGCACCGGCGCAGCCAGCGCTGATGGGGCGGCGGCTTTGGCGGCAGCACAACTCAGCTGGGGCTCGACGCGCTCTTGCGGGGACACAGGCGAGGACGGTACCGACGAGGCAGGTGGGTTCCGGGCGTCCTCTGGCCCTGATGTGAGCCTAGTGATTCTGAGAATAAACCAGGCCTTCAAGTTCCGGAGGACTCGGGCCCTCTCTGACTTCTATTGCAGCGACTTTTGGCCAGACAGCCGATTTTTTCCTGCCCTGTGTCGCTGCTATTTAGTGCTTAAGATTTGAAGTCAGACAGGTGTGGGGCTTCAAGTCAGCGCTCCGTGCCATTTACTCTTAGGGTGCATTGCTTAACTTCTCTGAATCCCAGTTTCTTGTTGGTTGAAACAGACTCACAACCTGTGGTGGCTACTCAGTTAAGTGAACTACTTGTTCCCTGTCTGGCCGAGAGTTTGTGTATAAGCAGCAGCTGGTTAGGGTAACAGCATCAGTGCGTGTCACATTTATGTAGTGCTCTTCAACGGTTTGAGAATGACTTTCCTATGCATGCTGTTCTTTAGTCCCCCTAGGGGCAGGCAATGAGGTGGCATTGTCCACATTCTGCAGACAGGGCACCTGTGGATGGGCAGTAAGTCAGTTTCTTGAGGCACAGCTGAGACACATTTTCAGGATCAGGATGTGTGAGCAAAAGTTAAGTTTCATCTTCACTGGAGGCATCTGGGGTTCTTTGAAAGGAGCTGGGCACAGTGGCATTGGAAGGCTGAGGGAGAGGATTATGTACTCCAATCTGGGCTACACAGTGAGACCCCACCTCAAAAAGTATTTGAAAGATTTATTAACAGTATCCCTCCAAAAGTTGAGTGTTCAGTGAGGAAAGCCAGCTCCTGAGCCCTGCTGTTAGTGTGTTTAGGAAGCCGATGGAGGGCATTTCTCTGCTTTAGATGCTGGGAGGCTAGTGGGAAGTGTGGTCCTTACATTGTAAGTATCTTACTTACTGTCACATTTGCTTCTTTGCTCAGGAGCAGGCCGAACTCTTGCCATGGGGCACTGTCGCCTCTGCCATGGGAAGTTTTCCTCACGGAGCCTCCGCAGTATCTCTGACAGAGTACCTGGGGAGACCTCAGAGAGACTGTCCCCAGGGGAGCGTGTCTTCATTAGGGACTTCCAGCGTCTGCTGGGTGTTGCTGTGCACCAGGACCCAGCCCTGCCTCAGTTTGTCTGCAAGAACTGCTACACCCAGTTCTATCAGTGCCACAGCCTTCTCAGGTCCTTCTTACAGAGAGTCAATGTCTCCCCGGCTGGCCAGCGGAAGCCTTGTACAAAGTAGGCCCTTGTTGGATTTCTTGGGACCTTCAGGGGTCATCATCCTGTGTTCTGGGTGTTGATGTAGGGCAGTGACTTGTGGGGTGGACAGAAGCCAGTATAAGCCTCTCATGGCGCTGCAGTGAGGTTTGCAGAGGTCTGAGGGTGAAGAGCTATCATTAGAAGTGGAGGGCTCCTGGGGAGGTTTGTGACCTTGAGAGGCTCCTAAACTGTGGCCACACTGATGCTTTGCAGGGTTGGTGTTCAGCCTCCCACAGTGGCAGAGGAGGGAGCATGTATGGGTGAGTGCTGTTCGTGCCAGGGTGGGTATTCCAGGTTGGGCCTAGTGTTGGCCACCATGAGACTGACATCTCTATTGATTCTCCTCAGCTGATCTGATCACCTCGAGCCCTCGGTGTCTGCACAGCTTGGTGGGCTGGGTACATGAACATGCAGCCAACTGTGGGTCTCTGCCCAGCCTCCAGAGGACACTGTCCTCTGAGTACTGTGGCATCATCCAGGCTGTGTGGGGCTGTGACCAGGGCCATGACTTCACCATGGACACAGACTCCAGCTGCAGAGCTCTCCTTTTGGACAGTGCATTAGCAGTGAAATGGGCATGGGGCAAGGAGATGTCACCACGGCTGTCCCAGAGCTCAGAGTTAAACACCACTGGAGCTGCCTCTCAGCTCTGCCAGGCCAGAGGAACCCAAGTTGGATCTGAGACCAAGACACCACCCAGTGTGGATGTGGCCCTGCTGCACTCACATGGAGACTCTGTGGGACCTGGAATAGGCCCCTATACTCAGCCAAACTTGGCTCCCAGTGAGGCCCCAGGTAAGCAGTACCCGTGGCTTATGATAACACAGGATTCAGTATCCTGGCCAAGGTTGTCTGCAGCAGAAAGTGGATGTCTGTACTGTTTGGGGGTAGGTCACGGTATAGTACGCAGTGGAAGCTGCTACAAGATGGGGGCCAGCCTCAGTGTTTTCCCATAGGAACTACAGCTGTCCCTATACCTAAGAGTAGGATGGTTCTACCAGCCTGTCTTGACTTCTTGTTCCTTCACAAGCGGGCCTCTGATTCAACAGTTTCTGTAATGACATGCTCATCTGGCATCCGGTCTTCCTCTAAGCCTGTCCTTAGACCACAGGGTACTGGTTGTTCTTGTAGGCTGAGGGAGAGAGAAGAATGAGGTTATTGTCTGCAGGACATGGAGGCAGACAATGAGGCTGCTACTTTACCATAGTGTGGGCGAGTGTGGTAGCCTCTTCTGCTGACTGGCCCTTCTGTGGGGCTTGGACCCCACCCACACGTGCTGTGGGTTGGGTGCAGCTGTTCCTAGGCATCATGTTGGGAGAGTTGGGGCCAGCTTCCTGCCTGCCTCTTGCCTTCATATGCAGGTTTTCAAGGCCACTTACGGGTGCTCAGTTGGTTTCCACCTACAAATATACATTGGGGCTCTTTAAGAATACAGGAGGGTTGCCAAGCATAGTGGTGCACACCTTTAATCCCAACACGTAGGAAGGCTGAGGCAGGCAGATTTCTGTGATTTTGAGGCCAGCCAGGTCTACAAAGAGAGTTCCAGGACAGAGCCAAGGCTACATGGAGAGACCCTGTCTCCAAAAAAAAAAAAAAAAAAAAAAAAAAAACAACAACAACAAAGAATGCAGGAGGGTTGAAGGTTGAAGAGATGGCTTGGCATTTAAGAGCACTTACTGCTTTTGCAAAAGACCTAGGTTCAGTTCCCAGCATTCACCATCTATAACTCCAGTTCCAGGGAATCTGAGGCCCTCTTCTGGTCTCTGCTGGCACCAGGCATGTACACAGGCAAAACAGTCTTATACATTAAAAGAAAAAAGTTAAGGATGCAGGTACTCATGTGGTTCAGCTAGAAATAAAACAGAGATGGATTCCAGGCAAGGACCTAGGAGGATGTCATAGATATCTTAGAATATGGTATCTTCGAATGCATGGCTTTATAAAGTGTATGTACACCTTTTTGATAACAGTAGCCTTTACAATGTTGTAAACTATCCAGAGTGGGCTATTCTCACCTAAAACATTGACCTGAATCTGAAAAGGGTCAGCTTGCTGATATGGTGCCTCCTGTTCCTTTGGACAGAGACTGGCATAGTGAATGTGTATGTGTGGGAGGGGGCGGTATGAGAATGGAGGAAACTGAGGCCAGAGGCCTTCTGGCCCTAGTAAGGAAGGCTGTGTCCTTAGACAGAGACATTGCCTCCTTACAGGTGAGGCCCTTTCTGTGCTCAATGTTAGTAACCAGAGCCCGTTTTTTGTTTCCCAGGGCAACTGGGTGAGAAGCAGGTTCCATCTTCAACCTCGGATGATCGGGTAAAAGACGAGTTCAGTGACCTTTCTGAGGGGTGAGAGAAGAGTGGGTTTAAAAAGCCTAAAATTTCTCCTTCGAACATCAGACTCAGCCTCCCTAGAGCTGCTACCCTTGGTTGGCATGTTTGCCTTCCCTCCTCAGAGGTGGGGAGAAGAGGAGTGGCCAAGGGAGTTCTGAGGCCTCTGGCTCCTGACTTGGCTTTCTGGTCCCAGAGATAACCAGATGAAGCATACTGCAGGGGGAAACACAGTTCCTATTGTAACCCAAAGCATTCTGGAATTGCCTCCCTTAAACTTCCCCAGGGTTGGTCCTTTACTATCATCTGTCTGCTTCCTCTTTAAAGGCCTTAGTTTTGTGCCAGCTTCAGGTGTCACTAGAACAGAGGATGCTAGATCCAGGCCTGTTGGGATAGTGATGTTGTCTTGGAGCAGAAGCTTTGTGTAGGGTGAGGAGAGGATAGGCCTCCCTTGGAAGGGATGTATCAGGGTCTGTTAGCTCTGGGTTGAGAACTACTCAGTTGGTGTTTACCCCCTTCTATCCTACCCCATGGCTTAGACTGGGGTGCAGATGCACCATCATTCAAATAGGGAGGGACAAACTAAATTTTGGTTCAACTCCTGTGAGAACTAGGAAGATCTCTGGGCTATAGACTGCCTGTAGCCCCAGGCCTGACTCCATCTAGATATCTGGTAACCTGTGGGGAACACCATGGGCTTATTAGACTGTCTGTTTGCTGCTCAATAGAGGCCAGTGGTTCATGTTTTAGGGTGAAGGTCATAAACCATTTGTTGTTGTGAACTTTGAAATAGCTAACAGTGTGCCTATGTTCACAGTTTATGGGTGAAACAGTTACTTTCTGAATCTGCCTTTAAGTGTTCACACTCTCTTGGCCATAAAGAAATAAACTGTTTCAGAGTTTGGGGTTCTGGTATTAGGAAAGAGTGGCTTACAGGGAGGGAGGATTTCTAGCTTGTTTGGTTTCAGTGGCTCTGGCTTGTCCTTCCTGTTAGGACATAGATTGAAGAGTTGGGGATTTTAGATTTCTTTAGACACTAGTTCAGAAGCAAAGCGTGTGTGGACTATGGGGTCTTTAGCACCTAAAGACAGGAGGTTGCATTGGGTTTGCTGTCCACCCAGGCCAGTGCTTTGCTGAAAGCTCTCTCGTCTTTCCTAGAGACTTCCTGAGTGAAGATGAGAATGATAAGAAGCAAAACCCACAGTCCTCGGATGAGTCCTTTGAGCCTTACCCAGAAAAGAAGTAAGAGTACAGCCCTGTCCAAGCATATGATGTTGTACAGGTTAGCCTGGGTGCACATAGGAGTCTTTTTTTTTTTTTTTTTTGGTTTTTCGAGACAGGGTTCCTCTGTGTAGCTTTGGAGCTTATCCTGGCATTCGCTCTGGAGACCAGGCTGGCCTCGAACTCTCAGAGATCCGCCTGCCTCTGCCTCCCGAGTGCTGGGGTTAAAGGCGTGCGCCACCAACGCCCGGCCCACATAGGAGTCTTAAGGGTTTTAAAATGGGATATGAAGGCCTATACTTAGTGATCGGCCTCAGTCACTTCCTGTTTTTCCGTTGGCTCCATCTCCCAAATCCAGTGAGCACGGCAACTTCTTCTTTTTTTCTTTTTATTACACTTACTTATTTGTGTGTGTGTGTGTGTATGTGTGTGTGTGTGTGTGTGTGTGTTTTGCACATGGGGAGGTCAGAGGACCACTTCCACTGGTTCTAGGGATCAAACTCAGGTTGTCAGACTTGGTGGCAGGTGCCTTTCATCTGTGGAGCCATCTCAGTGGATTCTAGATGAATCAGGAGGTCTATTTGAAAGGTCAAATGAGCAACTGAATAGGATAGGATTCCCCTTGACCTTTGCTCACTCTTTCTGGTGGTTTGGGAACCTGTGGCAGGCAACCCTGTTGATAAGACAGCCCCATTGTAGGGAGTACCTTGGTGGTCCTTTTCTAGTCTTGCTTCTAGTTTGTGCCTTAGCATCTTCCTGGCCTGGATCATGCCTTTTCTCAAGTCCAGGAACTTAACCTTGTGACCATTCTCAAGTTGGTCCTTGGCTCTGATTTCTTTGGCCAGAGAGGTATTATCCATTCTTTGTTAAGCGTCTTGTATGGCTTTGCTTTGGCTTTCCCCTTTTCTTCTCCAAACAAACATAGGATCCTAACAAGGAAAGATAGAGATAGTTTTTACTTGGGTCTGTTTCCTCTTAGCCCTGTGCCAAAAATACCCGAATACCCAATAGCTAGTTAGTGACTCATTGCCACAGTGTTCTGAGCATTTCACAGTTCAGAGTTAAAATCCATAGAGCAGCTCTGGGCTCCACACTATCAGCCAAGAACACCCTACAAAAAGATTGAGATTTTTTTGGTTTCTTTTTTTAATGTAAGTTCTAATGTTCCTTATGGAAAGAGAAAGGGAAATAAAAATAGAGAAGGAGGCATGGGGAGATCAGAATTAGAATACGATGCCAAGCCACGTGGGCTCAGAGGGCCTCACAGGACAGAGAGCTGTCTAGGGTCCAACAGGGAACAGCTCCAGGAGAGCATGGCCAGAGTGCAGGCTGGGCTGCCACAGGAACCCTGTTCCCTTTTCAGGGACCTCCACCTTGAGTCACTTTCGTAGGTAGTTCAGAGGGTTAGTGGGTTTCATTTTTAGGAGATGAGGGAAGTGATTGTTCTGCTGAGCCCTTGTTGCTGAGATGTGAACAGCACGTTCTACTGTGTACTTGTCTCACTCAGACTTGAAGTGAAGGTAATGTTCTTAGGGTGGGGCGTATGAGATACACTGTTTTCTGAGACAGGGTCTCTGTAACAGCTCTGGCTGTCCTGGAACTCGCTCTGTAGACCAGGCTGACATCAAACTCACAGAGACCCACCTGCCTCTGCCTCCCGAGTGCTGGGATTAAAGGCGTGTGCCACCATCACTTGGCTTGTTTTTGTTTTTGCTTTTAGATTTATTTCTTTATTATGTATACAGTGTTATTCTTCCATGTATGCTTGCATGCCAGAAGAGGGCACAAGATCTCATTATGGATGGTTGTGAATCACCATGAGGTTGCTGGGAATTGAACCTAGCTCCTCTGGAAGAACAGCTAGTGCTCTTAACCACTGAGCCATCTCTCCAGCCCTAAAAATAGTTTTTTATATGTATGTGTGTGTGTGTGTGTGTGTGTGTGTGTGTGTTCATGTATGTATACCAAGTGCATTTAGGAACCCTTGGAGGCCCAAAGAGGACATCGGATCTCCTGGAACTGGAATTATAGATAGTTATGAGCTGTTATGTAGATGCTAGGAACTAATCCTGGGCCCTCTTCAAAAGCAGCCAGTGCTGAGCAACCTCTAAGCCATCTCTCCAGCCTCTCAGCTGAGGACTTTTGAAGACAGGGTGTCAAGAAACCATTGGTCTGTGTGCCTACTCACATACTTGCCTCTTCAGCCTTTCTCTTAGCATTTAGAGTTCTGGCTGGTGGGTACTCACCCTGAGTGAATAACAGCTTTAGGGATGGGCTGGTCAGAGCACTGTGGTTCAAAGCAGAGAACACTTGAGCTAGACAGGGCAGTTAGATGGGATTGGAGATGTTTACCTATGAAACCTATGGCACAGATGCTAAACACAAGTAGTCTGGAGTGCAAGGGAATTAATGACTAAAAAGGCCATCCCACTTAGTCAGGAGATAAGTGTGGAGGGAGACATTGGGCAGTTATCAGATAGGGAGAGAAGGAATAACCTATATGTTGTAGGCTGATGTTTTTTTTTTTTTTTTTTTTTTTTTTTTGTTTTTTTTTTTTTTTTTTTTTTTTTTTTTTTTTTTGGTATTTTGTTTGAGATTCTATCTTCCTATAGATCTGGCTCGTCTAGAATTCCCTATGTAGCCCACACTGGGCACAGACTCACTGTGTAACTTAAGTAGGACTTGAAATTCTGATCCTTCTGCCCCAGCTTCCTGAGAATTGTGGTGTGTGCCACCATTCCGGGTTACTTAGGTTTGTTTGTTTGTTTTGAGATAGGATTTGATATATTTCTGGCTGGCCTTGAACCCTGTGTAGCTGATGACCTTGAACTGGTCATACCGCCTTGACCTAGGTGCTGAGATTATAGGTGATAGCATGATCTTTTTTTTTTTTTTTTTTGGTTTTTCGAGAAAGGGTTTCTCCTGTGGCTTTGGAGGCTGTCCTGGAACTGGCTCCTGTAGACCAGAGATCAGCCTTCCTCTGCCTCCCGAGTGCTGGGATTAAAGGCGTGCACCACCACTGCCCAGTGCTTAGCTCTTTTTAAAAAAACTTCCTGAGATGGAGTCTCACTATGTAGTTAGTCCTGGCTGGACTGGAATTTTTTGTGTAAATCAAGTTGTTCTCAGACTGAGAGAGAGCCATCTGCCTTTGTCTTCTGAGTGTTGAGATTAAAGTGTGTATCATTATGCCTGGCCTTAATTTTTAAAAATTAATCATTTGTTTTATTTTTGAACGATTTACTCAATATTATGTGTATGGGTGTTTTGTATACATGTATGCCAGGTGAATGCAGTGCCCTCAGAGATCTGAATAGTGTTGGATCCTTGGAACCAGACTTAGAGGTGGTTTTAAGTGGCATGTGGGTACTGAGAATCAAACCTGGATCTTCTGCAAGAACAAATATCTTTTTTTTTAAATTTTATTTATTTAGTATGTATACAGTATCCCGCCTGCATGTGTCTCTTTATGCCAGAAGAGGGCACAAGATCTCATTATAGATGGTTTGTCAGCCGCCAACCATGTGGCCAACCATGTGGTTGCTGGGAATTGAACTCAGGACCTTTGGAACAACAGCCAGTGCTCTCATCTCTTTAGTACCAGGACAATTTAGACTACAGCGATCCTGCCTCACAAGCACCAACAAAAACCTTGTTTGGCTCTAAACTGTCTCTAAAAGTTCTGTGTTAAATTTCAGTTGGATCTATTTCTGTGTCCCAAAAAGATCACTTGTATTTTTGCCATCCTGGAAATTGAACCCAGGGCCTTGCATATGCTCAGTAAACAATGAGCTGTACTTCCCAGCCTTCTGTTTTTATTTTTTTAGTTTTTGAAGTAGGGTCTTGCTTTTTTATGTTTGTTTTCAAGATAGGGCTTCTCTGTAAAACATCCCAAGCTGTAGACAAGGTGTAGAACTCACTCTGTAGACCATGCTAACCTTGAACTCAAAGAGCTCTTCCTGCCTCTGCCTCTTTTAAGTCCTGAGATTAAAAGTATGTGCTTCTTTGCTCAGGCAAGCTTTGAACTTATGATCCTTCTGCCTCATCCTCCCATACTGGAATTATGAGCATGTGTTACCACAGCAATTTCCAATTTGATGTTGACATGGGTATTGTCAACAATCTACCCAAGATTGCTTGGGTAGACTGTATTGGAATTGTATTGCCATTGTATTAGGGTTCTGTAAGGAACTGAATGAATATATACTAAAAGGAGCTATATTAGGTTGGCTTACAGGATAAAGTCTGAGTAGTCTAACAATGGCTGTGCTATACTGGAGAAGCTGAGAACTGACTTTTTGCCTAGTCCTTAAGGATAGGTGTCTCAGCAGTCATAACCTGGTGTTGAAAACCTGAAGGATTCCTGGAGAGCCACTGGTCTTCCATTCATGTTGGAAGCCTGAAGAAGCTGGGCTCTGATATCAGCAAAGGAACACAGCAGCAATAGAATAAATGAGTTTTCCAGGATGGTGAAAGAAAACAGGCAGAACCAAAGGTTCCTTCATCTAACTCCTTTTATTTGAGCTGCCACTAGAAGTTGCTACCCATATGTGGGTTTTCTTACTTCAAATAATCTTATCTAGAGAGTAGAGAGTCCCTCACAGATATGCCCAAGGGTTTGCTTTTGATTCCAGTTCTAAGCAAGGTAACTATTTTTTTTTTAAATTTGTGTGTGTGTGTGTGTGTGTGTGTGTGTGTGTGTGTGTGTGTGTACACAAGAGAGAGAGAGAGAGTGAGAGTGAGAGAGAGTGAGAGAGAGAGAGAGAGAGAGAGAGAGAGAGAGAGAGAGAGAGAGAGAGAGAGTCTTGATATGTATCTTAGGTTGGCCTTGAGTTCATGATCCTTCTGTTTCTACCTCTTGGGGTGCTATGATTATAGGTAAGTGGCACCACATCCCATATATATTAGTTCTTTTTGTTTTGTTTTCCTTTTTGGTTTCTTGAAACAGGGTTTCTCTATGTAGCCCTGGTTGTCCTGGTACTCACTCTGTAGACCAGGCCGGCCCCTAAATTAATTCTTATCAATAAACATTTCTACTTACTGTCTTTAAATGTTGTGGGTTTTGTTTTTGTTTTGTTTTTTGTTTTTTGAGACAGGGTTTCTCTGTGTAGCTTTGGAGCCTATCATGGCACTCATTCTGGAGACCAGACTGGCCTTGACCTCACAGCGATCTGCCTGTCTCTGCCTCCCAAGTGCTGGGATTAAAGGCGTGTGCCACCAACCCCCCTGCCTGAGGGGGGTGGTTTTGAGACAGGGTTTCTCTGTGGCTTTGGAGGCTGTCCTGGAACTAGCTCTTGTAGACCGGGCTGGTCTCGAACTCACACAGATCCCCCTGCCTCTACCTCCGGAGTTTTAGGGATTAAAGTCATGTGCATCGCACAGCAGGGCTCTCTGTTCAATTTTATTCCTAAGTATCATTCTTTCTAGGGGGATAGAAGATAAGGCTAAATCTAAAGCACTGACAATCAATAAATAATAAACTAACTGGGTTTTGTGTATTGATTTTCATTTACTTTGAGATATGGAGTATTAGACTGAGTGCTTTGTGCAAATTAAGTGCTCTACTGAATTGTTTCACCACACTTTTTTCTTTTTAAACCTTTGTATTTATTTGTACATTTATTTATATTTATTTATTTATTTATTTATTTGAGACAAGGTTTCTGTCTAGCCCTGGTTGTCCTGGAACTCATTTTATAGATCAGGCTGGACTCAAACTCAGAGATCCACCTGCCTCGCCTCCTGAGTACTGGGATTAAAGATTTGTGCTACGACACCCCTCCAATTTTTGTGTTTTTAAATAGAGTCTCACTACGTTGCTTAGGTTAGCCTTTACTTTGTGATCCTCTTGCTTCAGCCCCTTCATTGACTGGGATTTCAGGCCTGTATGACCTAATTTGGCTTCTGTTATTGATTAAAAAAAAGAAATCTATTTTGGGTCTGGAGAGATTGCTTAACAGTTGTACTTGTTTCTTTTGTTTTGTTTCCCAGCACCCACGTGGCAGCCAGCAAGTCTGTAATTCTAGTTCCAGAGGATATGATTCCCCCTTCTGGCCACCACAGGCAATGTAGAACACAGACATACATGTAGGCAAAATACCTGTACACATAAAATAAAAATAAATTTAAAAAGTACATTTAAGGATGAATTAAATCTAGGACCTTGTACATATTGGACAGCTGCTTTACAATTGAGCTACACTTCCCACATAGAAATTGCTGAGTTTTTCAATGTTTGCTTGTTTTGAGATGTGGTCTTGGTGTGTTGTCTGGGCTATACTCAAACTTTCAGGCTCAAGCAGGGTTTGTGTCATCCCTGAGCAGCTGACATGTCAGCTATGCACCATCATGCTGGTGTATTATTTTTGTTTGTTTTCTGGGGGTAGGGTTTCTCTGAAGATTCCTGGCTATCCTGGAACTCATTCTGTAGGCCAGCCTGGCCTGAAACCCACAGAGATCTGCCTATCTCTTCTTCCCGAGTACTGAGACTAAAGGCGTGCACCACAACTGCCCAGCCTAGCCTTTTTGATGCTATTGAACATGAGTTGCTTTCTTAGTTTCCTTTTTGAACTATTTGTTGTTAGTGTATAAAGTATAATTACATTGGGACTGAGGGTATGCCCCAGGCTGCTGGGTGCCTGACAGAATCTCAAGTGCAGTGGTAATGCTGAGCCCCTTTCTAGCATGAGATCATCTGGTAACATGACTGACAGAATTCTCTTCCATTCTCCACATCTCCATTTCTTGAGTTGTGTTCTTAGCACATAGGACTTTAATTCTGAAATTTCATATATGTGATAGTATGTGTGCTCCTTGCTACCATCTGTTCAGCATACCCTCCCAAGGTAACAGCTTCAGACTTCTAACCTTCTTGGAGTTGTACTAGCCAATGGTAGATGAGGCCCTAGTCTTCATAGAGGCAGGTGGCAGGTGAGTCAGGAAAGCTTGAAGAAAACTGGACATGCAGGAAGAGACAAGAATCATTTGCAGATAGAGATAAGTATCACTAGATTGTTTTCTTTACCTTTTCTAGGGTCTCTGGTAAGAAGAGCGAAAGCAAAGAAGCCAAGAAGCCTGAAGAGCCCAAAATCAGAAAGAAGCCCGGGCCCAAGCCTGGATGGAAGAAGAAGCTCCGATGTGAGAGGTAAGCAGGCTGCAGTGTGGGGTATTTGCACATTGGGTCAGCACCTCCATGAGTGCTTTGCCTTACAGGGAGGAGCTGCCCACCATCTACAAGTGTCCTTACCAGGGCTGCACAGCTGTATACCGCGGGGCTGATGGCATGAAGGTAAGAAATGGGCATCACCCTCAGGAAGGGCTGCTTTCAGATCTGGGTGTGCTTGACTGAGTTGACCTGATGTTAACACGAAACTTGTGTAGAGCCAGGTGTAAACTTCCCAAGGGCTCACATGACCCTAGTGGATGTGGAGTCAGTCCCTTGCTCTAAGACACTGGCTTAAAGGGTAGGAAGTAGTTGTCTCTTTCCAGTAGTCAGCTAGGAAGTGCTGAGACCACTACACAGGCTGGGAGGTAGGATGTGCCCAGATTAAACACAGGGTTTCTTGTCCCTTCTTCCTGTAGAAACACATTAAGGAGCATCATGAGGAGGTCCGGGAGAGACCCTGCCCACATCCTGGCTGCAACAAGGTATTCATGATCGACCGATACCTGCAGCGACATGTGAAGCTCATCCACACAGGTACCTGCCTCAGGCTGTGCCTTGTGAGCTTGGGTTTGGCTGTCAGTGGATCCCAGGTGCCCAGCCAGAGGGACGTACCCCCTAGAAGCAGGTTGTGTTCCAGTGGCTCACAAAGCTTGGTATCAGATGCTTCTTTATCACATGGTATTCTGAATCCATATTCAAATTTGAGTCCTGACTGTTGAATTCCTGATGGAGGCAGTTTTTTCCCCCTGCTGTGAGGTCTGAACAACTTTTCAGACTCCATAATCCAGAATTAGTACTCTTTTGTGAATTCACCACCTTTAAGAATTAACACTAGAAGCCGGGAGGCAGAGGCAGGCGGATCTCTGTAAATTCGAGGCCAGCCTGGTCTCCAGAGGAGTGCCAGGAAAGGCTCCAAAGCCTTTCCTGAGAAAGCCTTTCCAGACAGAGAAACACTGTCTGGAAAAACAAAAAACAAACAAAAAAGAATTAACACTAGAGTACCAGGTGGTGATGGTGGTGGTGCACGCCTTTAATATCAGCATCTGGGAGGCAGAGGCAGGCAGATCTCTGTGAGTTCAATGCCAGCCTGGTCTACAAAGGGAGTTCTAGGCAGCCTGGGCTACATAGAGAAACGTCTCAAAAAAACAAAACAAAAAAACAAAAACAAGAACAACAAAAACCGCACCAACCAAACAAACAAAAACTAGAACTGACTGGAGTTTATCTCCCTAGGATCCATATGGTGAAAGAACTCTTACAACCTGCCTTCTGACCTCTCTATATACACTTGCTATGGCATGTGCACACCACCCCCAAATTTAAAAATGTAGAAAAAAATTAACTTATTTCTGGCATTCATGCAGGTAGATGTGTTACATATTTCTGAGGTTTATAAATGACAAAAATCTGTCTTATATCAGCATTTGTGTATCTTATTGTTGGATTATATACTTATGATGAAACCTCGCCATATATCAATTTTCTAATTTCTACTCCTTGGTAAGCATTTGGGCATGTCTCCCGATAGGGTAATTTCCTTTGGTCTAGATCTTCAAGCTATCTAGCCACTAGTGGACACAGCAGCAGCTTTCTAACGAGGTGAAACATAGACTTTTAAGTAGTTCAGCTTAGAAGTCACAGGTTTTGCCAGGTGAAGGAGATGGTGGCAGCAGCACATGCCTTTAATCCCAGCACTTGGGAGGCAGAGGCAGGCGGAGCTCTGTGAGTTTGAGGCCAGCCTGGTCTACAAAGCTACACAGAGAAACCCTGTCTTGAACCCCTTCCCCCCACAAAAAAATGACAGGCTTTTTATAGCTGTGTAGGCAGTATAGGCTGGAACAAGTACCATTAGTACATAGTACTGGTATGTTGAAAAAAGTAAAAAAGCACATGACACACACGTGGAGGTCAGAAGAGTTTGTAGAATTCAGTTCTTTCCTACTACATGAGATCTGGGATTGAATTCAGGTCATCAGTCTTGGCAGCAAGAGACTTTACCTGTTGAGCCTTCTCCACGATCCTTGTTTTGTTTTTGAGACAGTTTCAGGTAGTTCAGGCTGGCCTCATTCAATATACAGCAGAGGATAACCTTGATAAGCACTGAGATTACAGGTGTGTGCTACCATGCAATGTGATGTGGCTAAGTTTTTGTTCAAGAGCTAAAGAAGTTGACTTCCAAAGTGTATTGAATAATTTTACTTCTACCAGTGATGTTATCTCCATTGTTTAGGTCTTTACTTTGGGATGACTTCTAGAGAGCACCTTCTCTAAGAAGTCTGTGCCCCCAAAGGAGCTTCAGGCTGGACATAGTGGTGCACATATTTTTCTATGAATTCTCTATGTAGGCCAACAGGGCCACATAGTGAGATCTTATCTCAAAAACAATCCAGGCGGCGGTGGTGGTGGTGGCTCACACCTTTAATCCCAGCACTCGGGAGGCAGAGGCAGGCAGATCTCAGATCAAGGCTAACCTCTACAGAGCAAGTTCCAGGACAGCCAAGGCTACATAGAGAGACCCTCTCTTGAAAAAAACAAAAACAAAAAATAAATATACACACAATTTCTTTGGTGAAAACCTAGCCATGTAACTGTTTTAAGGAATTTATAAATCTTTATTAGTGAGCTGCTTTGTATTAGAAACATTTATTAGTGAAGTTCTTCATATCAGAATTGTCTTTCATTTTAAATAATTTTGGGTTCTCAACAGTTGTTGCTTGGGCACACCCTTATAAAGCAGTAGTAACTGTCACCCACTTTGGAGCAGATTTGGGTATGAGACTGGTGCTCACAATCCCTCTGGTCTTGCAGAGGTACGCAATTACATCTGTGACGAATGTGGGCAGACCTTCAAGCAGCGGAAGCACCTTCTTGTCCACCAGATGCGTCACTCGGGAGCCAAGCCACTGCAGTAAGTGTGGGCTGGGCACTTCCTATGACTGGGACAAGGTGCAGCTTATCTCACCTGCCTCTGCCCCCCAGGTGTGAGATCTGTGGGTTCCAGTGCAGGCAACGAGCATCCCTCAAGTATCACATGACCAAACACAAAGCAGAGACTGAGCTGGACTTCGCCTGTGACCAGTGTGGCCGTCGGTTTGAAAAGGCCCACAACCTCAACGTGCATATGTCCATGGTACATCCTCTGACCCAGACCCAGGACAAAGTCCTGCCCTTGGAAGCAGAGCCCCCACCTGGGCCCCTGAGCCTTTCTGGGACCATGGAGGGCCAAGCTGTGAAGCCTGAGCCTACCTGAGAACTTCAGGTGGAGCACTGGGCATCTTGAGCTGCTTGAACTCAGCAGGTGTGACGTGAGGTTTAAAGACATTAATGTTCCTCACTTCCCCACTGGCATGGTTTGCTTGCCCGTTGGGCCCATTGCTGCACTCCACCCCACATACCCAGCAGCCATGTGTCGGAGGGCACCTCTCTCAGGGCGAGGGAGGTAGGCTTGGTGTGTACTTCAACCTGCTGTGGTACCAGCAGTTTATTTTCCTATGGACACTGAGCAATTTAAGGCTAGAAACAAATTATGAATAATTAATTTTTTTCCTAACTAGAGCAATCAAGGAGATTTGTAATCTACTTTCTAGTGTAACAAGAACTCCATGTAATGCTTGCAATAAATTATTCACAAAGGTGCCAGCTGGTGCACTGAGATGGGTACAGTCAGAACAGATGAGGCTCCTGGGAGAGATCAAAGCTGGGGACAGCCTGCCGCCTCTGCAGGAGGGCGTTGCTCATCTCAGGGTCATAGTCTCTTCGACCAGCCAGCAGCTATGAGAAAACATATTGATTAGTACCCATAGACTCTCAGGATAGCCAAAGTAAGTTGTTTGCAGATCAAGAACTAGTGGGCACTTGAGATGTGCTGCCAGCACGGGGGGTCTGTGGTGTGCAACTAACCATCTCAAATGTCACAGGCCTGTGACTTCTCATTTTACCCAAGTTGTGAAATCAGCTCAAGGATATCTCTTTGGTTGTTACCTCTGTCATGTTGGAGAAACACTTTTCTGGGCACTGAGGTATTAGCTGCAGCAGAAAAATACGTGCTTCTGTTATCAGTTGTACAGGGCTACCCTAGAACGGAAACAGGTGGTCATGAATGAGGCACACTGAATCAGTACTAGCATATGTCACTTGCTGTTCCTAAGGAATGGCTGCCTCATAGGCTTGGGGAGCTCACCTGGAGCAAGGAGTGGCCTTGGAGCTTTAAGCTTTTGCTGGCCTGAGGTAACCCAGTCCCGGTTTCCCCATCTACAAAGAGCTGCATCAGCTTGAGGTACATGTCGACAGCAACATACAGGAAAGCCTCTTCCTTGATGATGGCATGTTCACTGAAGTAGGAGAGAAGACTGCAGGCAAAGGGGAAATGATAAAGGACTTGTAGATACTGAGAGGTAAGGAGCAGTTAGCACAGAAGGTGCACACCTATTTGTGTAACAGAGTGACAAGGGAGACCTTGGGGAAACAATGCAAGGCTGGGCTTACTCACCATTGCCTAGCAGGTAGTTACCTGTAGAAAGCAAATGGTAGCAACCTGGTGTGCTGACCTGGAGCCAGGTGGAGGAGGTGCCCCAGCTCAGCATCTGTAAAATTGAGGAGTTCAAACAGTTCTTTAGGTTCCTGAACCCAGTGTCAGTGCTGTGGGATGACCCCAAGGTGTCATGTGCTCTGAGGAGGCTTTTCTCTAGCTGTGGTGACCTATAGGGGCTTGTGATCTATACTGGGGGCACCTGTTAAGAGCTCCTGGGAAGGAGGGTCACTCCCCCTTGGTCTGAGAAAATGAGGGTGATATGCTCATACAGGAGAACAGAGACTGGAGGTTTAACAAGTACTCTCCCACTGCTCCCCTACAATGTGCCTATGGGTAGCAACATTCTGAATTTTTGAGTGTCCCAGTCGACTCTAATGTTGCTTTAAATGGGTACGTCCTGAATTTGTACCCCAAATGAAGTAGGGTCTATAAACTCAGTAAAGTTAAACCCATAAAAGGTGACCCCAAAGCTTGTTCTTAATTGTTTGAAAGTTGCTTCTGAAGAGTGATGGTTGTCATGGTAGTGCATCGATTTATGTCTGCTCATCTTGGGTAGAGCCAGCTTTCCCATACTATTCCAGGGACATATGGCTTCTCACCTGTCTCTGTCAATTGGAAGAGCATGAGCCAGGAAACCTTCCTTCTTTCCAAGCATTCGAGGACCTCAGCACAGATATCCATGGCTTTCAGATACTCAGCAGTGTCCTGTGACCCATAGAAGAACCCTCAGAAGAGCTGAGTAGGTGGAGAGCTAATCTTTGTGTAGGTGGACAAAGCTGGTTCCCAAGAGCTACTGTGTTTATGTGGATTCCGTGTTCAGCTCTCACCATAAAAATGGGGTGGTTTCTCTTACTCTCCAAAGTCTAAAACTGTTGACACAATCTAAAGGCATTGCCTGGGCTTTCTAGATGGAAAATGCTCACACATACCATGTCACTATACCAAGCTCTGGAGTAAGACATCAAAAGGAAGAACAAACAAAAAACATGGCCCGAAATACCCAGAGATCTGAACTGAAGTCTGAGTATACCTGGAACTTATTACCGTGTGCTCCTGTCCCACCCAGGGTTGGGGGAAAATGCCTTCTCCGCTAAAAGGTTTGACTTACCTGTTGGGTCAGGTAGGACGAGAGTAGGCTCATCAAGGAAAAGAAGAGGAGGGAGATGAGTAGCTAGGAGGGAAACAGTTACCACATGAAAGTCACACACTGATACTCTAGGCTAAAGCTTAAGGCCTTTAAGTGGATCTCACTGTGTAGTCCAGGCTAGCCTCAAATTCATTCCAACAATCTTCTTGTCTCAGCCTCCTAAGAGCTGTGATTGCTAGTATGAACCTCCAATTCCAGGCTTTCTATCATTTAGGAGCTTATGTCAGAATAAATTATGGCTTATAGGGCCATTTAAAACAACTTTTTAAAAAAAGATTTTATTTATTTATTATGGATACAACATTCTGCTTCCATGTATATCTGCACACTAGAAGAGGGCACCAGATCTCATAACAGATGGTTGTGAGCCACCATGTGGTTGCTGGGAATTGAACTTAGGACCTCTGGAAGAACAGTCAGTGCTAGTAAACTCTGAGCCATCTCTCCAGCCCTAAAACAATTTTTACTACATTTTATTTTGTTTGTGCATGTATCCCATCAGAGGTCCTGCATTTAGGAGTGAGGGGGTGTACAACATGACTTACTTCCCAGCTTCCTCCTCAGATGCTGCTTCCTGTTTTCTTGTGTCCTCAAAAATCTTGGCCTACACATGCCCTGAGTTTCCTTAAAGGTCATGTACTGATTAGAGGGCACTAGGTAGTTCGGGCTCTCTCTCTTGGGGCCCGTACCTAAGTCCTGACTCTCTCACTTAGAAGTTGCAACAATTCCTCCTTGTACCTGTGCAGAGCCTCTAAGTCGCCTTTTTTTTTTTTTTTTTTTTTTTTTTTTAAGATTTATTTATTTATCATGTATACAGTGTGTGCCAGAAGAGGGCACAGATCACATTACAGATGGTTGTGAGCCACCATGTGGTTGCTGGGAATTGAACTCAGAACCTCTGGAAGAACAGACAGAACCCCGGAGCCATCTCTCCAGCCCCTGAGTTGCCTTCTTTAAGTGCCCTGCAGCACAAGTCGCAGTTATGGCAATGTAAACATGGGAGGTGTAGACACTATGTGGTGGCAGTGTCCTGGGTTGCAGGGCAGGCAAAAACAAGCCCAACAGAAACACTTCCAAAGAGAAATGTAAAGCACTTTACCAATCAACTTGAGAGGCTTACTGAAAACAAACTTAGCTAACAGTTTTATGTTGAAATAGTGACAACTCCAAATTTAATGTTTTTCTTGGAAAAGGAAGGTCATTAGGCATACCTCACTTAAAGAAATGACAAAAAATAAGCTCATTAGAAGAAAGGTATTGAAAATTCCATGTCTTACCTCCTTTCTCTCACAGTCTAGCTTTTTCAGATGTGCCTTGACATTTTCCTTCCTAACTTCTCTAATTGCAAAGTGCAGTGCAGCAGCTGAGATCCAGGCTGGGCTGGGTGCTGGGGAAGCTGAATCAGAGAGGAACCTGACACACACAAAGAAATATTGCATAGATTTAAATTGTACTTACCTAATTGTCGTGCCTCTAGCCACCAAATATCTGTGTTTAACAAAGGGGGCTTTCCTTTCAAACACAATGCAGGGGGTCCCAGAGTCACTATAAATGGAGTTTGTGTCAAGTGTTTGTCTACTCGGGGGATCTGGTAGGTTGGGGTCAGCCTGTACATAAGGCAAATGATATATAGCATTCTGTGGGGGATCTGGCTTAGTCCCGTCCACCTCATGATGAGATATTGGGGCCTGAAAGCTTTGAAGGAAGAGGCCATAGTACCACTGAGCTCTCGGTATTTATTGGTTGTCCATGTGGGCCTGTGACTGGGATAGCCTAATGGAGTCTAACTTTGTACTGTCGTGATACCGTAGTTTCCAGCAGGGTAAGTTTGGCAGATGCACTAATGCCATACAGTGTAGGAGTCACAGGGGTAATCTGACCTCTGTAGGGTTCAAGTTGGTAGCAAGGCCTGCATTATTGTTTACTGAGCAGGTTTTGGAGTACTCCCAACAGAAGCAGCATGTATTCAAAACTAGCTACCAAAGGGAAGTCCTTGATAAAGATTATTATCTTGCTGAAGTCCTCTAAGAACTCCCTAGATGCCTCGGTGCTTGGTGGTCCTCATGAGGTAAGGCCTGCCGGTACTGCCGGAAATCTGCCTGGGCTCTTAGGTGTGAATCTGCTCCCTGCCCTATCCTGTTCCCCCAGTGCTGCCTGCCTTGGGCCTCTGGGGCATCCTGTGCTAAATAAACATAAGAACAGAATCCAGGGCCAGGATGCAGGAAAGCTGAGCTGAAGAGACCTGATGAAAGCAGCCTCATGAACACTTGGGCAGCTTCCTTAGGCAGGCCAGTCAGTTCAGCCTGCTGCGTTCCCTTCACTCAGAGGCAGTACCCAGTACTCAGTGTGACACAACAGAGCCTTGTCCAAAGAGCAGATGAGCTCCCCCTTGAAACTACTTCAGCTTACTTGCTAGCAAACTCCTGGGCCTCCTGCAGCCTCTGCAGCTCACGTGGCAGTGTGCTCTGATGACATTTCTTCCACCGACTGTACAGCACTGGCTCTAGCCTTGACCACCACAACTGTGGGAAGTAAAAGATGACCAAGAAACAGATTACAGAAGTTGTCTTTGGACAGCTATGAGAGATACGCTGCCAATATTCCAGACACCCAATTGCCAGTCAGCTAGGAACTTCTGAGAACTCTACACAGTTCATGTTGTACTGCTGTGTAACTTTTATCTTCTTTTTTTATTTTTTTTTTTAAGACAGGGATTCTCTATGTAGCCCTGGCTGGCCTGGAACTTGCTATGTAGAGCAGGCTGGCCTAGATCTGCCTCCCAAATGCTGGGATTTAAAGGCATGTGCCACCAACGCCGGGCAAATAAATGTAAATTTAAAAACCATACACACTAGACCTACCAGTGCTGAGGTCAAAATCATGGGACATTTGGTCTGGCATTCTGTCAGGGTCATGTTGGTCACCAATGCTGGGTCTTGACTTCGAAAACACACATTAAGGAGCCCCTGTAGCAGGAATACATTGAAGCTCAGCAGTTTGCCAACCCAGGTGCCCATGGGAACCCTGGCCCTGAAGGGCACCACTTAGACGACCAAAGAGAATTACATAGGAGGTACTGGATTACCCTGAAGAAGTGCATGGTAATATCATGGGTCAGGACACTGCCATGGCAACAGAAGTTTCTCTGTAAAACAGTTCAAAGTCAGCATAAAACCAACACAGGGTGGAAAGGCCAGCCTAGAGCATTTGCACATACCAACTCAGAGTTGACCAGGTTAAAGAACTCCTCACAGTTGGGGGAGACAGGTTGTCCGACCCGGGGGCTGCCCATAAGAACAGATGGAGGCAGGCGGAGGAGAAGCCTTGGGAAGAAGGAGGTACATCACGGTAAAGACTGAAGATAGACAACAAAGAAACAGGGTGCCCGTTCCCTGGCTCAGACTTTGTTGCACAATTATCCTTGCCTTGGGCTTATGTATTCTACATACAAAGCTGTCTTTGCCCCCAGCTTTTAATTCCTACTTATTCATTGTAGATTCTCCAAATATGCTTCAAAAATATAATTAAGTAAAAATTTAAAAACTATTAGATGGATGTACTACTGTCTAAGACGGCAATCCTTTTTTTGGAGGGGGGGCGGTGTTTGAGACAGGGTTTCTTTGTGGCTTTGGAGGCTGTCCTGGATCTAGCTCTTGTAGACCATGCTGGTCTTGAACTCACAGAGATCCGCCTGCCTCTGCCTCCTGAGTGCTGGGCTTAAAGGTGTGTGCTGCCAACGCCTGGCAGAAGGCAATAACTGGAGGATTCTATTATGAAGAAATGCACTTTAAAAAAAATGTGTTCTTAAAACAACAACAAAGGGGCTGGTGAGGTGGCTCAGCAGTTAAGAACACTGACTGTTCTTTCGGAAGACCCAGGTTCAATTCCTAGCATCCACATGGCAGGTCACAACAGGGGATCTGATATCTTCACCCCAATGCAACTCACTCTGTAGACCAGGCTGGTCCCAAACTCACAGAGATCTGCCTGCCTCTGCCTCCCAAGTGCTGGGATTAAAGGTGTGCACCACCAACGCCTGGCCAAAGTATTCTTTATAGTACATCCTTTAGCAGAGGGATTCTTGAGTCTGAGTAGAAAGACTTGAATCCAAAGCACCTTTTGCACTGTCACACCTGTTCCTATTGAAGCCACCAAGATGCTCAGACCTTCCCAAGCTTGGGGTAGACATAATACAAGCAATTAGTAGTGGAAGCTAAAGACAGGAACTGGCATGAGAGTCACTGTGATGTCTGTTACCGTTTGCATATGAGCAGCTCTCGTTGTCTCCTAAGGCTAGTAGCCATGCTGTCCCCAC